GTACAATATTTGTCTTTGAAATGTAGTGGAGTAAAAGTAAAAAGTTCCCAAATAAATAACTACTCAAGTAAAGTACAGATACTCAAAAAATGTACTTAATTACAGTAATAAAGTAAAAGTACTTTGTTACTGTCCACCACTGAATGAATGACTCTCAGCTACTTCCACACCAGATTTATAGGTCAATATCTGTTAAACTGAGTTATAAAAAAAAGCTAAAGTAAATGTGTTACTTTTAATTAATTCAGTTGAGTGGATCCAGCTTCTTTTTATTAAATTCATCTGTTTTCAAGTTTTGGTTGTGTTTATTAAGACTTTTTTAGCTATGTTAAATTACTTCAAATTAATCAGTTGCACATGTTTAAAATCCATTTTGTTGTTCAGGAGATATTTTGCTAACAGACATGAATATAGCATATATAACCAAAGCAGAATATATCTTATTCTGGACTCACTGCTGAAAAACTAAAATAAAACTGTGTCAGTGGGCAATGCTATTAATTATGATACTTTGTGCAGAGAGGGCTTTTTTTTTTCAAATGCTTTGTTTTAGAAAAAAATTAACTTTGACAAACCTACAGCAGAAGTAAAATATAGTAAAAATAGTTTCACTTCAGAGTTCTTATTGGATAAAAAACAGTTTCGTGTTAAAGGAAATGTGTCACTTTATTGTTCCTACATGTGTAAATGTTTTAATTTTACAGCACAAATCCACTCTTTTCAAGATAAATAGTGTTAAAGATGAGCTACATTAGAAGATATATGTTTTTAAAATAATTTTCAAGAAACACAAAGAAACCAAATTTTTCAAATATATTTGGGCTCTGATAACTTTAATGAAGTGCTCAGATCTTAATTAGCTGAGTAAGACTCTGGCTTGTTTCTAGAAATGTTTCTAAAAGAGGAGTTTATTGTTTCAGAGCTGTGTAGACCCGGTGTCTTTCTGATCAACAGCCATCCGCTTCCCCAAGCTGCTGCCTGGAACACTAAAAAAAATGACTCACAAAGAAAGAAAAGGATGGTTGTTTCTATAATCTGTAATGTGAATAAAAGCATCAGTTAGCAGTGATAATAAAAGCTCATCAGCACCCGGGAAAACCAGAAAACGTTCTAAGAGAACTGCTTCTAAAGATAACTCTAAAATCCTGTGTGAGCGTAGATTTCAGAGGGACTTGGTGCTTTCTGCAGAGCAACATCTGCACGAACATCATCAACACATCAGTCAGTCACAGAGTCAGGCTGCTCCTGTGCAAACACTGGAACTTCCAGATCGTCTGCCCTGCTTTTATTTAAATCCAGGCCAAGATGGCTAACGTTACCTGAAGTGCAGCACCAACAGAGAGAAAAAAAAAAGAAGTCGTTCAACAGGACATGACCAGTATTCAAACACTGACTGAGCCACGCCCAGTTCTTTTGTTTAGTTTTTGTGAAGCAGGTGGGCCAACTGACTCCACATGAAGCCGTTAAAGTCTGTTTGTTTTAGTCAAATCTCGAGGTGCGGGTGAGACAAAACACACAACCTGATGTTCTGAGGGAGAGTACAATTGCTTGGTGTCTGTTATTTGGATAACTACTTTATGTCCCAAGTATCTGAAATGCTTTTGTTTTTTTTTTATAGTCTTCTGAGAACCCGGTGGGGAAAACAAATGTTTTGATTTGGATTTTTTTTTCATATAAATCAAGTGCTGTGAGTTTTTACCTATTTTTATTTCAACTTTACAACATGTGCACTACAGAGCCCGATGGGACTTTGTTGATTGTTAGTGCTCAATATAAAACCAGAAAGCTTCATTGAAACGCCATTCAGATTCAACAGCTGGTTTTAAAATTGAAAGTTCATTAAATCAGAATAATAAAACATATTTAACATGTTTACAAAAAAATACAGAAAAGTAGATAAACTTAGAACTTATTGACTTTTCTTTTCCTTTCTTTTCTTTAGCTGTAGGGACAACTGACAATTTCATCTTTTTGTCATTTTCTTGATTTATTTCATTTACAACATTTGAAGTCAAATTGTATTACTGCAACACATTTCAGTATATTAATCTTTTTTTTTTTTTTTGCTCAAATTCAAAAATCTGAGATCAGTACATGTTGGTCATTCTTGTCTGGTTCTTATCTGAGTTGTCACACTCTCCTCTCAGACTCACTGGACTCATCTTCTGAGAAATCTGTGTCTGAATCCCCTGTCTGTTAGACAAAAGGGAAATAAACAGAAGTACAAAGTCCTGTAGTGCACTGCAGTACACAAGAATTAATTAAAATTTTTCTTTGTGAAACTAAATAAGCTTAGTTCTCAATTCACTTAATTTACTTATTAGATGTTCATTTGGGAAAATTAGTGTAAATAGAACATTAAATAAGATTTTAAATATAAGTTTCAGGCTTGTTTCTCTTTTTCGTGAAAAGAGCTTGTTGGGATGCCAGTCGTTTTGAAAAGAAAGGGAAAAAGTTAGTGAGGTTCAGACTGAAGCATTGCTGTTCCACTTTATATAGACCCCCAACTGAATGAGCTAAATGTGAAAAAGAAGGATTTAAAAGCATGACATGTCTCCGTTAAAGCTACAGGCATCCTCTCCAGGAAACATCAGGAGTTTGTTAGGTGGCATGTATAGTATGAGAGATGTAAGTAAAACAAAAATGTGCACTGCAGTGCACAAAAATGAATTGCTGGGTCTCAGGAGTGAGGCATTATGGATTCTAATCTTATTTTTTATCTTATTTGTTTGATAAAATTATAAAAGAAGTATTTAGATTGTATTCGGCAGCAGCACACTGTCTAATCCCTGCAGTTATACGTTGCTTTATAGTGAAAATGTCATAAAATAACTCCAAAGTGATAGTTCAGATCTTTAAAGGGTGATTGTGGAAAGGTTGTGAACAATTAATATCTTACCTGTGGTAGATACAGCATATCTTTGATTGGCCTCAGTTGGAGAAATAGAGTTTATTTCTGACCAGATTGATGAGCTAATGGCTAGTCCCAGAGGAACCAAAACCAAGAGGGTCTGCTGCCATCTTGAGCTTCTGAGATCCACAGCTTTGGTTTGGTGGAAAATTTTACTTAGGGTTAGAGATTTAGATTATAAGAACCTCATAAAAATTACAAAAAACCTGCATTATTTGGAAAAAATAGTAACTTTAAACAAAAAAAAGTTTAGATTTGGATAAAAATGTAAGAAATTATTGGAAATCAAAAGTAAGTGAGTTGAGCAGAATAAAATATGTTCAGGGAAGCCAGTGATGGTTTCAAAAATTCAAACCAACTCTAATATAAAATATTCATAGCAGTTGACGCAAATTACTCTACTATTGCAGGGCGAATATAATAATAATAAAGTTATCTGCCACTGCTCTACATAAAAATGTGTTGTGAAATTGACATTCATGTAAAAGTTACACTAATTGTCAATAAAACCTAAATACTGGAGGAATTTGAACATTAAAGCAAT